GAATTCTGGGAGTTGAAGTCCACACATCTTAAAATTCCCAAGGTTGAGAAACACTGGTTTAGAGTCTCAGCATGTCTTAATCCAGGCCTGACTGAGCTTCATTTTTCAACAATACTTAACCCACGATTTTTTTTTTTCAGAGAGAAATTGCTTTCTGAAGAATAAACGAGTATTTCTTTCTTGCATCTTGTCAAACAGGTTTCATTAGCAACAGAAAACCTGAGAAGGAAAAAAAAAAAGCATAGCCAAACAGAAAAAGAAAGAAAAAAGAATCTATTTTCAGCTATACACAAATATCACACCCAATACAAGTCTCCTTAAACAGACGTAATGGTTACTTTCAATTGCTTAAGGAAATAGGTTCTCTGCCACTGGATATTGAGTGAGACATCTTTGTGGCGTTCTATGCAGGATCCTGTGCAAGTAGAGAATTTTGTTTTGTTTACTTGTTTGGGGATGATGATGATGGTGATGATTTTTGTAAGGGTATAGCAAAAATTGCATATTTCTTCCTAAACGGGATGGAAAGAACTTGAGATTTGAAAAAAACCCTATTTACTGCCCATGGAGGAAAGTGAAACCGATAGCTGCCTTGGGCCCCAGAACTGGTGCTAAATTTTGAGCTGCGTGGGTTTTTGGGGAGGGGGGAAAGGAGGAACCAAACTAACGAGAAAATGGGAAATGCTAGCCCTGCTGATCGATGCCTGATGAAAGCCACAGGATCTGGCGTTTCATCAGGAAATCTCTCTACCATTCAATGATAGCATTTACGTCCTATTTAATATTTCTTCTTATATTCCTATTTAATATTTCTTCTTATATTCCCTTCTATGTCCTGCAGCTATGGGACGGCTGCTGCTGCTGCTCCTCCTTTCAGCTGGTTTAATGCTACCAAGTGGTGAGTAAACCCCAACCCTTTTCTAAAAATGGAGGAAGCTTATTCCCAAATCCTAGACTGGTCTGTCTGTCTGTCTGTCTGTCTGTCTGTCTGTCTGTCTGTCTATCTGTCTATCTATCTATCTATCTATCTATCTATCTATCTATCTATCTATCTATCTATCTATCCATCCATCCATCCATCTATCTATCATCTCTCTCTCTCATCTCTCTCTCTGTATCTCTATCATCTCTCATCTCTCTCTCTGTATCTCTATCGTCTCTCGTCTATCTATCTATCTATCTATCTATCTATCTATCTATCTATCTATCTATCATCTCTCTCTCTCTCATCTCTCTCTGTATCTCTATCATCTCTCATCTATCTGTCTGTCTATATTTTCTATCTATCCTCTCTCTTTCTCTCTCTCTCCCTCTCTCTCTCTATCACACAGCCCTACTCAGGAGAGCCAATGTGACATTGTGCTGAGGATGACGGACTAGGACTGGGGAGATCCAGATTTTAAATGAACCACAATTGGCAAGACTTACCCAACCTACAAAAGCCCATTTTAAGATGTTGGACTAGGACTGGAGAGGTCCTAAAAAGTCATTGGGTGATTTTGGGCATCTCTCTCTCTCTCAGCCCAAACTCCCTCAGAGTTGTTGTTGTGGGAAAAATTATGTGCTGCCTTGAGGTCCTGGAGGGAAGGTGTGTGAGAAATGTAAGGGATAATAAAATAAATTAAACCTGCAGACTTCTTATCTCTTCAATAGTGATAAGGGAAGTAAAAAAATCATTGGTGCCTTCCAGTTTGGCCCATGGCCGTTCCCAAAACATGTTCTTTTTTTCCCCTCTTCTACTTTCTTCTTTGTTTGGGTGTTTTATTGTTCTTTCCTGAACTCAGTTTTTCATGCCTTTCCATTTTTCTGCCAGGCCAAGGGTTATCAAGCTCCCAGGGAAAGCAATTCATCACTGCTTTCATGGAAAATTTTGAGACCAACAGGCCTTCTGAAACGAGCTTGAAGCTGTTTCTTGTCGGCCACGGTAATGCCACCACGGTTACTGTGACAATGACCAGGTCCTCCTCCCGCAAAATCTACTCAGTCGCAGAAGATGAAACGGTGTCTGTGGATCTCCCAGTGAATTCAGAAGTGAAAGGCAGTGGCATTTTTGCACGTTCCATCGTGATTCAGGCTGAGTTTGACATTTCGGTGGTCTTATTTAGCCGTAAATTGTATTCTGTTGCAAGCATGACAGTCTACCCAGTCCATGAGCTTGGCACTACCTATTATGTGATCACACCTCCTGGCACCAAATTGCCAAGCTACCAGAAAGAATTGGCAGTCATAGCTTGGCAGAGTTCTACCAAAGTCACCATTGAACTGAAAGGCAAAGTCATCTTCAACGGAGAGTCGTATGCGGCAGGGAGTACCCTCACAGTGTACCTTGGAGCTTTCCAAGTTCTTCAATTGCAAAGCCCCGATGACTTGTCTGGCACCAGGGTTCAGTCCTCGGCCCCTGTGGCAGTCTTGAGTGGCCATGTCTGCGTGCAGAGAAATTATTACTGCGACCATGTTGCTGAGCAACTGTTGCCAGTCTCCAAATGGGGCATGACCTTCATCGTTCCTCCTGTGCCTCTGCAGACTGATTTGGATGTTATATATGTGGTGGCTTCTCAAAACACACGTCTTGTTTATCAGTCAGGGCAAAACAAAGGCTTTCAAGATATGGTGGCTGGAGAAATCACCCAGTTGTCGCTCCAGTCCCCTCACGCGTTTTACATTTCTGCCGATGCTGGAATCCAGGTTCTTCTGTTTTTCACTGGTGTCAGAATAAGGGACATAGGGTATGATCCATTTCTCATCAACATCCCTGATGTCACCAGTTATGGTCTGGCCTACCGAATTGATGGTCTCATCAAGTTTGACAACTATATCCTTATCATAGCAAAAAGCTCTGAGAATGAAATCATTGCCTGGGATAAGTCTGTTGTAGGAGGCATTCGATGGCAAGAGGTCCCTGGCTCAGAGTATTCCTGGGGAGAATACCTCTGGAAAGTGGATAACAATGAACAGTCAGTTTTCCTTGAGAATCGCCAAGCTCCGTTTGGCATTTTGGCCTTTGGAAACAAGAATTATGAAGGCTACGGCTTCGCTCCATCACCTTTCGGCACATTTGGTAACTAGTTGTGCTTTATGTAGAATCAGCACTGTGACCCATGTTCTAGCATTCTCTCATAGTTACTCCTCTTGAGCTGCACCCTAGAAAAGTTTCTCACAAGATTGCTAATACTGTGTCAATGATTTGCCCACTAATTTCCCCCACGTTTTCTCCCTGTGCATTTGCATTTTATTTCTTGTTTTAGCTTCTTTTAATCTTGTCAGAGGTTGAATGGGCTACTGTTGCTCTTTCTGTCTCTCTCAGCTATTCAACAGCCACCCTGTTCTTCCTGATCTGGAAAAAGCCCCGTAGAGGATATTTCTTTTTAATTTTTTAAAAAACGATTATTTATTACATTGACAAATGTAACAGAAAAAGACATGAAAAGCAAGATGTAAATAAAGAAGGGGTTTATGAGCACTGTAACATTGACCTCCCCCACAAAAAAATGGAATGACATCAATCATAAATCTATTTATTAAAATACTGTATATCAGGCTGAAGTTGAAATCAGCATTAACATAAATCAAACTTAGAAGTCTTCCCTTTGGATTAAATTGAAACATGAGGACCCAGGGAGGCTGCAGACTGCTGAAGAGAAAATGGGATATATCTATGGTATTTTGCAGGGGTATCACAGGGTGGGGTCAGAAAAATCAAGATGGCAGTCATAATTTATGAAGTCATAAGCAATTGAAGCTCCACCGCCATGTTGACTTTTTTTTACCATACCCTGCGGTACTTGTTACATCAGATGTACAAGTAGTCCTCAACTTATGACCATTTGTTTAACTACTGTTCAAAGTTACAATGGTGCTGAAAAAAGTGACTTATGGCTGGTCCTCACACCATTGCACCATCCCTACGGTTGCAAATGAGTGATCACCATTTGCAACCTTCCTAGGGGGCTTTCGACAAGCAAAATCAAGGGGGGAAGCCGGATTCACTTAAGAACCATGGCAAAAAAGGTCGTAAAATCAGGTGCAACTCACTTAACAACTACATTGCTTAGCGATGGAAGTTCCAGTCCCAATTGTGGTCATAAGTTGAGGGCTACCTGTATGAAAGGAGCCCATACATCGTCCATAAAAAAATCAGCAAAAGTTCTCCTTTGGGAAACAGAAACTTTCCATCTAAATGAACTTTTTTTTTCTTTTAAATATAGTGCTGCAGGTAGCATTCTTTGAATTTCAGAGATTTTAGGGTTGCTAAAAGAGATGGAAAGAGATAGTCTGGGTGGGGAAGCTATGCCTGATCAGTTAGTGCTTGGATGGGAGACCACCAGGACATTCCATGGTTGTAGGCTAGACTGAGAACTTTAAAAAAAACCTTAAAAAACATCCTGGGGAAAGGTAAAGACTTTTGTCTTATTGCTTCAAAAACTATGTAGATGGGTCCATGAAGTGACAAGAAGTTCACCTTTTTATACAGGGAGCAAAACCGAGCTGAATAGTTGTAATCTGGCATGTTTTGCTCAGGTGAATCTCAGTGTGAGACCTTTTTCTTGACTATTTATGTATCTCTGCTGAAAAAGTGACAGGGACAGCAGATCTTCTGGCAGGAAAACACAACCAACTCAACAACTTTGAAATCATTTCCTGAAACTCAAATACAGCGTTCAATGCATACAAGCCCATATCTCAAGCTATACCACATCACGCTGAAAACGTATTTACTTATTAAACGCACACGCAGACACGGCCATGCCTTCAGAATGAATGATTTCATAGCAAAAAACAGACGGCTACAGTCTTTACTGGTGTCATCAGTTTACTTTTCAGCCCTCGCTTCGCCAAGATCGTAGCCTGGTTCCTTAATCCTGTCTCAAGGCTGGACAATTCTCCCTTAATCTGACAGAATAAGAATGGTTTGGGGGAGTATGTGACTTTACAGTGCGTTGGATAGGTGGAGTTGGATCATACTCGTGGCAGGCCTAGGATTTTGCATCTTTTCCATTTAATGAGTGGGAAGTTTTCTTTCTTTGATATTTGTTCAGTGGCACTAAGTTTGTTTTAGCCTCACGCTACTATGGTTTCTAAGCATTCCCCATCTCAAAATTAGCAGGAAAGCAATCGTCTGTACAGATTGAGAGGGATCCAAGGCTCTGAATGGAATGGAATGGAATGGAATGGCAGGCGGAGTCTTGAGACTCTAAGTTGCCCTCTCTGGTTCAGAAAAGTTTTGAGAGCTGATTTGTTCATGTATTCATGTATTCATGAAATTATATGATGCCCATCTCTGCACTGAAACTCTGGGTGATGAACAAAATCAAAATATATCCAATCCATTCAGCCAGTGTTTCCCAACTTCAACAATTTTAAGACGTGTGGACTTCAACTCCCAGAATTCCTCAGTCAGCATGATGTTGAGAACACTGCATTAAGCCAAGAAAATGCGCGCGCACACACACCACACCACCACCAAGTGGAGGGCCAATTTGAATCTCAGTTCCTCAATATTGCATGTATCCATGCCAAAGCTCCAATAACTTAACATCCTGGCCCCATGCCTGGAGGAAGAGCCAGGTCTCTACCACCTTCTGAAACATCAGTAGAGTTGGGGCCATCCAGTTCTCTGGAGGGAGGCTATTCCATACAGCAACACCATAACAGAGTTGCAGCTTATGTGGACATCGAAGCAGTCAATTGCAAATGCATGTTATGTATATAGGGAATCCCCGGGTTAAGAACGTCTGTGTTACAGATGACCCATAGTTAAGAACAGAGCCCACTGTAGCAAAATTTGAGTTAAATACACAATGGTTTGAGTTCATTACCCAATACTACTAATGTAGTAGTATATAATACTATTTCGGCTTACATACAAATTTGACTTACGGACAGACCTTGGGAACAGAACTCTTTCTTAAACTGGGGACTACCTGTATGTGTTTCTCTTCCTAAGGAAAGTCATCTTGTTAGACCTAACGGTGCTGGGATTCCCCCTGCCTCTTTTGATCATTCTTTCACTTAGCTCCAGTTCCAGTTCCGGTTCCTGTCCAGCTGACCTGCCCTGAGAACAGCCACTACGTATCCTGTGGAAATGCCTGTCCAGCAACGTGTTCCGACCGAACTGCTCCATCCCGATGCAAAAATACCTGTGCCGAAGTCTGCCTCTGTGATCAAGACTATCTCTTCAGTGGAGAGAAATGTGTCCCCAAAGAGAGCTGCAACTGCACTTACGAAGGTGTGACCTACAGAGCAGAGGAGGAGTTTTGGGCAGATGAAAACTGCCAGTCCCGTTGCAAGTGTGATAACAAATTAGGCAAAACGGTGTGCGTGAAGTCTTCTTGCAAGGGCAAGACAAAATGCATTGTGATCAATGGTATTCGGGGTTGTCACACCACTAGCTACAGTACCTGCATTGCATCTGGGGACCCACATTACCTTACATTTGATGGAACTAAATATGATTTTATGGGAAGCTGTGTTTATCAGATGGTGGGCGTCTGCTCGAAGAACCCAGCCCTCACCCCATTTTCAGTCACAGTGGAGAATGACAACCGAGGCAGTAAGGCTGTGTCCTTTACCAAAGTGGTGACTTTGGAGGTCTATAACATGACCATCAGCCTGAGCAAAAATACCCGGCATCGGATTGAGGTACAGGGGTTGAACCTTGGAGAACAAAGGGGGAGGCTTAAATTTGGTACTGGGGACCAGTTAAAATACTCTGCAAAGCACCTCCAGTCTGTGGCATGCAATTTTCATTTTTCCTATCTAAAGAGAAGTTGGGTTATTTGGAGAGTAAAGCTCAAGAGAGTGCTTTACATCTGCTTGGGAAAATGGAGATAAATATTACCAAAGGTGTGGACTGTTGCTATTTCTATAGGGGAAAAAGTTGAATCTTCCAAATCAGGGTTCCTCAACCTTGGCAACTTTAAGAAGGGTGGACTTCGACTCCCAGAATTCCCCAGCCAGCCTCCAAATCATTCACTGAAGTTCTTCTGTTGTAGAAGGTACTTCTGTAAGCCACACCCAATCCTGGTTGTTCTTCATTCTGTAACAAGAGATTCACTTAAAACTGATTTACAAGGCCATATTTTATGCAGAATACGTTATCTGTTTCTTTGATGACTCCAGATGAAAGGGAGAGGGAAGAATCTCAAGTGCCAGTGAAACAGTTTATACATGGCCAAATTAAAAGTTTACCGGCACTTGAGATTCATCCTTCTTTTTTTAAATTTTTACATCAGTGCCTGCCCTTCTCTTTCCATGCTCTCTGGATATTGGTCCCAGAAGGCAGCTATAATGGAGTCAGTCCTACAGGTAGTCTGCACGCATGCCACAGGAATGTCCTGATGCCAGGCTTGGGCTAATGAAGAGCACAATAAGCAGTTAGCAAAATCCTACAAACACTCAGCAAAATATCAGTGCGTTATCTTGGTTGGACAGATTAATTTCTGACAGCATCATATGATAAGGAATCTCCTTTTCTATCATGGTAGAGCAAAGGTGAGCCAAACCTAGAGGGCAATTCATAAATTCTGCCTGGGTTCCACTCCTAATATAAAGACATTTCCCTTATAGCATCTTAAAGCATCTTTTTGACTCATCCAACTGTCATTGTACCAGTATAACAGTAATGAGGATAGGGTTTATATCACTTAGCAGTGGCTGGGTGATGCCATGAAGGCACTGTAAGTCACTGGTGGGGAAATGGCTTACATCGTCTTAGGACATTTTCTGAATTTGCTAAAACCCCTGGATGGCGTTTTTTGTTTTTTAGGTCAATGGAGTTTTGGTGGATTTACCCTTTTCTCATGGAAATAAACTGAGTGTCTATCAGAGTGGGGTCCACGGCTTCATCAGAACAGATTTTGATCTGAGAGTCAGTTTTGACTGGTACAGCTATGCCAGGGTCATTCTTCCCAGTACGTATGCCAATTCTGTCTGTGGGCTCTGTGGCAATGCCAACCAGAATCCCCATGATGACTTTGACATGCCGGATGGAAGTCAAGCCAGGGATATCATTCAATTTGCAAACAGCTGGAAGGTGAGGAATGTCCCTGGATGTGCTGAAGGATGCATCAGTAACTGCCTGAAATGCAGTGAGGCTGAGAAACAAACCTACCAAGCTGAACGTTACTGTGGGATCCTCACCAAAAGCGATGGACCGTTCGTGCAATGTCATGATGGTGGTGTTGACTCAGCACCTTTCTTTGAAGATTGTATCTTTGATACCTGCATATACAAGGGCCAGCCAGATGTTCTTTGTGGAGCCATCAGTGCTTATGCAACAATCTGCCAAGCTCAAGACATCCAAGTTGGGCAGTGGCGATCAGACTCCTTTTGCAGTATGTGTCATTTTATGAATTTTTGTGACAGTGATTTCTGTCTCATTAAATCAAATGTGAAATGTCAAATGTGAATATGACATTCTGCTCATGCATACTGTAGTATGATGTTCCATTTCTTATTATTGCAGAGCATGAACGCAGAATAATGGATATAAGTTACAGGAAGATAGTGTCCAACTGAATTGATTCTATAATCTAGAAAGACATCTGAAATCTATGAGACTTCACTAATATTGATTCCATGCTCCTTTCCATTAAGTCTCAATTTTTGGGAGTTACAAATATCAAAGTGGAATAATTGACACTTTTTAAAACACACTGTTGCTTGAACATAAAGCAGTTATTTTGTCATTTAGATTTTTCATTATACTGGGATTTATTTAATAACCAAAACTTTGGAGAACTTTATCTTCGTTTCTCCACAGTCGTCTCTCTCATGTTAAAACTTGATAAATGGAAATAGCTGGTTATTTGTATATTTTAATGATTGAATTGAATCGCCGAATCATTTTATCCATAGCCAAAGGCTAAAATATCTGAAGAAAGAGCATACTTAATTTTTTGATGCTATGCAAAGAAGGCATAGGAAACATCCTCTGAGAAAGACGCTTCCTCTAGAATTAGCAATAAAGAGAAAGGCTTTTTCTTAGACGTTCCCAGCTGATCACATCTTTATCCCATTTGTATTGTTCCAGACACTTAAGGCTTCAACAGATGAGACAGGAAATGCTATTCTAAGTCTTATTTGAAATAAGCAACATGTATGTCTGAGCAAACATTAGGATGTGATGGAGAAATGGTAATTTCTTATCTAAATAGGATAGGGAGAGACGTTCTCTTCATTTACAAGATGAATAAAGAGATCCCTAAGCATAGAAAGGGTAGTGGGGCAGTAATGCTTGTTCTGCACATGGATTAGAAGGATTGGGTAGACATTTCTATATGCATAAGTACAAATAGAAATATTACATGACCCCCACACATAATAGATGTTTCAGAATTAATGGAAGCTCATATAGGTCCATGCACAAGATCTGTGTGAAGGGCTGGGGAGCCACCTATTAGTGATAGGCCCCAAAATATATGGAAATCCCTGTACCTGGGCAATATATTGATGGGCCAAAATTAATATCTTTTCAGGGTTCCAAAATTCCATACTTGAAATGTATTGTGACAACCTATCTCATTGCTCTACTCTTCCAGGTCTTTCCTGTCCACCTCATTCCCACTATGAACTCTGTGGAAATGGCTGCCCTTCTACCTGTCACAATCTTGCCAGTGCCAAGTTTTGTGATGCTCCCTGTACGGAAGGGTGTTTCTGTGACTCTGGATTCCTCCTCAGTGGGGATACGTGTGTCCCTGTTGCTGAGTGTGGCTGTGAGCACGAGGGCAGATACTACAAGAAGGGAGTAGAGTTCTATCCTACAAGCTCCTGTCAGGAGAAGTGTCATTGTGTGGACTTTGGTGCTGTTGAATGCCACCAGTTTTCCTGTGGGGATTATGAGGAATGCAGGGTGGAGAATGGCATCCAGGGCTGTTACCCTGTTGGTTATGGAACAGTGATAGCATCTGGTGGAATCCATTACATTACCTTTGATGGGCAAACTTTTGATTTTGCTGGCTCCAGCACTTACATCTTAACTCAAGTAACCAACAGAGATGATCAGCAAGTAAAGTTTTCTGTGTCGGTAGAAAATGAGAAGGTGATTAATGGATCTTTAATTGTAATAAAGGCAGTTGTTGTCTACATAAATGGATATACTATTGTCCTGGAGAGGGGAATGACATGGCAAGTTAAGGTAAGTGCCTTATCTTATTAGCATATTATAATATCTCTTTGTGAGTGACTATGTGAAAAATAACATGTGAGCAACAATTATGATTTCTCTGTAATAAATACCGTTGGTTTAATAATTTTTTAAAGTTTAGTTTATATACTTTCCTTCTTGTTCCTTAAAGAAGCAAGTAGCGTTCAATGGATTTACTAGCCATGCTTTGGAGAACGTTGGCCATATATCAGACCATGAAGAAAATGATCCTTTCCAGATCCAAGAGTTTATGCTATGCGTTTTTCTCTTTGTGCTGCAATAGATGCTGATAAGATGTTTCAGTAGGGTTTGGGAGAGAATAACCTGATTCATACATTACACCAAAGCATGGCTTGCTACATTTTTCTGGGTTCATGTAACATTAACCATAAATGATGGTTTAGAAACTACAATGGCTGAGCTTACACCTTACACAAAGCTAGTCAAATCATCTGATGGCTTAAAGTTATGTGTGAACCTAACAACTACAGCACAGTCTCTTAGTAAGAGTAATTTACAGATTGTATTAAATGTTTCACTTTTGTGCTTTGAGAATGATACATTGCTGCTCTCATTTGTTGTGTATTTATATCCGGATTCTCTACAAGGGCATCTGGAGGAAGGATCAAGGGATGGGAAGAAATTATGAAACAAGTGGAGTGCCATTGGGATACAGGTTCCTCCCATTTGTATGCGTGCCATGTTGTTGCATGCACGTATGAAAGGGTGGAGCTTGGCATGTGACAGCATGCCTCTCATTTTGTCATTTGGATGAAAACGTTGGCTTTGGTGAAAAGCCTCTGTCTTCACTGATTGAGTTCCATTCCTATGTCACCTTCTGTTCTATTAATTTCCAGAGGAATTTATGTTAGCCTGCTGTGTATCTGTGAAATAATGGCAAACAATTCATTATTTATTCTTGTTGCCTTGTCTAAGGTGGAAGATGAGTTTTACAACTTACCATTTAGTAGAGATGATGGAAAACTTCAGATCAGCCAAGAAGGGAATAATATTATTGTCCAGTCATCTGAAGGATTCAAAGTCCTTTATGATACTTTCAACTATGTCCAAGTTTCTGTCCCCAGCACCTACCAGGAGCATACCTCTGGACTTGGTGGCAACTTCAACAGTAATCCTGAAGATGATTTCATGCTGCCCAATGGCACTCTCGCCCAAAGTGTGGGTGAGTTTGGAATCTCATGGGAAGTCCCCACAGCTGGGCTCATTTGCTCTGAGAACTGTGTGGAGGAACTTCCTGCTTATGATCAAGCCCAAACATCACAGTATGAAGATGACAGGTACTGTGGACTCATCACATTGGAGTCAGGCCCATTCAAAGACTGTCATTCATTTGTGAGTTCTGCAGAGTTCTTTCACAACTGTCTGTATGACATGCAAGTCTTTGGAGAGGAATCTCTCTGTCAAAATCTTCAAGCTTACACAGCTAAATGTCAAGCAGCTGGAGCTGAAATTGATGACTGGAGAACAGCTGCCTCTTGTCGTAAGTTTATAAAGTCGGCTCTCTTGTCTACTTCCATCAGAGGAAATCATACAAATAATTTGAGCTATGACTGAATTATTTTGGGTTGCAATGCTGTGGTGGCAGGAGAAACAAACTTGGCAGATTGTCTCTTATAGGTACTCTAAAGAAACTGGCAGTGCTATTGGAATAGATTCTTCATATCTAAATAGTCTCTCTGGTGGATAATCCCCAACTGTTCAAAATTATCTTTCTTGCTGAGTTTTTCTTGCAAGAGATTCCCCTTCTCCTTCTCTGGAGTCCTAGATAGAGTTTAGCCCAACTGTACATTCTTCTAAGGTCAGATTATAGAAAGGGTGAGAACAGTAGCGTTAATTGTAGAATATATCTCCAGATCCATTTCCAAATGTTATGTGGCGTTTCTTTTGATAAGTCCATTTCAGATTTATTCTGATGTTGGTTTCTTGCATCTGCATTTGCAATTATTATATGAGAAAAAGCTCCACTGGATGCAGTGAAACTGGGTAATCTGTTATGATAGAGGAAAACCACCTTCCACATTGCTAACACTTTGTCCTGTCTATATTTTTACTTGGTGGGGTAAGGAAAATATTTGGCAAACTTTTTTTACCCCTCCTTTTGCCTCTTCAGCTCTCTTCTGTCCAGCTAATAGCCACTATGAGATGTGCACTACAGCTTGTGATTTCAGCTGTGCTAGTTTCTACACTACATTCCAGTGCACTAGGAAGTGCTTTGAAGGTTGCCAGTGCAATGATGGCTACATGTTTGATGGGAATACATGTGTACCTCTGGAAAAGTGCGGCTGTTCACATAATGGACTCTACTTCAAGGTAAGCTATGGCAGTGTTCCTCAACCTTGGCAACTTTAAGAGGTGTGGACTTCAGCTCCCAGAATTCCCTAGCCAGCATGGCTGGCT